ACAGACAACCTCTCGTCAATATGCGTTTTTTGCATTGCATTACTGCAAAAAACGCATAAAAAGCAACACACCTCAACAACTGATTCGTTACTGCTGCTGCTGCTTAGACTCTCATTAAAACACGAGTGGTATTCACTTCCACTGCTGCTGCTTGGCGAATGAGATGCTTCTGAAAATGGCTTTATTAATACAGGCCGAAGATGAGGCTGGTATCCTGTCCAGTGCCACTTTTACCCCTGAACAAAACCTTCCTTTTCAACTCTGCTGATAGGAGGGGAAAGTGGTTTTTTAGAGGTGCTCCACTCTCAGCCACTACGGTACATCTTGCTGGGCTTGCGACACGCAACAGATTTGCTATGCAGAAACTGCCGACTCTGTGGAAACGGAAGCAATTACTGCTCGAATAACATTTCCACCAGCAATTACTGTTAGGACTTTGTTAGGGAGAAAACGCCCAATCCTTTCTTTTGGGGAAACTGAACGCAGCACGGCAGGGTGTACGCGAAGATAAACTCATCTTTACAAATACATTCACCTGCAAGACAACTTTCAGTTTAGCGCTAAAATATTAAAGAATAAATAACAGCGCGCAACAGACTAACCGGTGCGATCATGCGTTTTGTGCAATTTAGCCCATCGAACGATTGCCTATTAATGATTTTCACTGCTTTGTATTTTAGTCTATGCAAATAGTTAAAAATTACACGAACCTGCGTGTGAAAGCTGAATTTGAAAACTTGAGGGGTAAATATCTTTCCGTGATTCCCGAGTTAATAGTTTACCCGCCAAAATTTTCACGAGGACGTAGGTGATACGCGAGAGCGCGAGAATGCTGAATTTGAATAGGCGAGGTTGAGCTTGGGCAGGGGGTCATTACTCTAAAAATCAGCTTCCTAGACTCCGTGGTTCCCGAGGTAATAATTTACCCGTAAAAACTTTCACTAGCCCGTAGGTGATGCCCGAGAGCGCGGGAACGCTGCATATGTATTTGCAAGATTGTTCGTGGGCAAGGGGTCGCAACCCTAAGATTTCAGCTTCGTAGACTCAGTGGTTCTCGAGATAATAATTTACCCGCAAAAACTTTCATTAGCCCGTAGGTGATACTCGAGAGCGCGGGAACGCTGAATTTGAAGAGGCAAGATTGAGCGCGGGCAGGGGATCACTAACCTAAAATTTCAGCTTCCTAAACTTCGTGGTCTCCAAGATAATAATTTACGCGTTAAAAATTTTCACGGGGCCGTACATGTTATCCGCGGGAAGGGGAAAGCTGAATTTAAATCTTCTGGATTGCACATAGGCGGAGGACATGCCCACAAAATTTCAGCCTTCTAGCTTACGTGGTTCCCGTGATAATAACTTTAACCGAAAAAACTTTTGCGGGGCCGTACGTGTTATCCGCGGGTACAGGAAGGCTGAATTTAAATCTGCCGCGTCACACGTTGGCGGGGAACACTATACTAAGATTTCAGCCGCCTAGCTTTCGTGGTTCCCGAGCTGAAAGTGTGACACACACGCACAGATAACCCCGTGACAATATGCGTTTTGTATTGCTGTTACACAAAACAGAACGCATAAAAAGCAAAAACAGGCAACGGCGTGACTACTGCAAAGCTGTTCTGGCCAGCTGGCACCACATGCGCAGCTTTTTGCTGCTAATTTAAAAAAAAAAAAAAACTGTTATTCGAGTGCCATTTCAACATGTTCTCGAGTCCAATCTTGATTTCTGCCAAAACTATTTCTAACATGCAGCTAGAAAGCGTCATGATGGGACAGTTTAAACAACACTACCACTGCGGAGATTGGACAATCTCATGTGATTTGTGAGGTAGTAAACAAAATAAACAAACTTCGAGAAGGCTTCCACTGCGTTAGACTGTGATTATGTAACGGTAGTACATCAGACGCTGCTGCTTTTGACGATGATTGTTCCGAAGGAGCAATGCTATCGCAATTGGCGTTATCAACACTTTGCGAATTCGATAGGCCACGTCTCTTGCACAACACAACGAACGGACAGGTACTTACAAGCTCTTTAATCGTATACTGAAAGTACTCAACTCATCTACATGTATTCTTAGACTCCAGCAACAGTCACAATTTCAGACTGACATCCTAAGCGGAAAAAGAATGCAGCGCATATAAAGATAACATGAGATTGCTAAATGACTCCGATTTAAATAACTGGCCAACGCATCAACTGTCGGTGTGAAGATGCGTTTTTTGCACAATTCCCCGAAGATTTTTGTCACAAACGGCAAGGTTTTTCCTAGCAGCTGCTTTTAGCTAAAAAAATTGATGCTCGCCAGCATGGCTGTGAGAAAACATTCCTCTAAAATTTCAGCTTTCTAGCTTTTCAGGTTCTCGAGTTAGCAACTTATCCGCAAAAAATTTTCATGGGTCCATAGGTGCGTTCAAAAATTGATGAGTTCAAATCCATCCCTCATGCATACCTGAGGGATGGATTTGAACTCATCAATTTTTACGTGGATGGGGGATATCCCCTCAAAATTTCTGATTTCTAGCTTTTTTGATTCCCGAGTTAGCAGCTTACCCGCCAAAAACTTTGGCAGATCCACACGTAGGAATAACGTGGGCAAGAGAGTCCATTTTGGGTAAGAGGGCCCGTACATGGATGTAGATTAAGTTCCCAAGGTTTCAGCCCTGTAGCTTTTGTGGGTCTTGAGATGAAAAATCGGTACAGGCGAACACACAGACACGCACAGATAACCCCTCGACTATATGCGTTTCTGTATTGCATAAATGCAAAAAACACAAAAAAATTGCAGAGAGTGGCCCCGCGCGGCTCTGCACATCACATAACTTGTTGTGAATGCCAAGCTCATGGATGCCCCACTGTCGTAATGATTTTGTGACTGAGTGCATGAAAGAAAAAATTCTGAATTCATGGTTGACTTCATTCTAGGGTCTTGAAATGAGCCCATATTTACAAGCGTGTTCCCAGAACAAGACTGAATTTGGGATTATAAGGCAGACTGCGATTTTAACGTTGGCTTGAGATCCAAAGCTCCAGATTATTTGAATTTAATACTTTCACATCGTAGCCTCCTTGACCTATGAGATCAAAGAAATTATTCCAGACAGAGAACCAGGGTCATCAGTCAAAATACAGTGAAGCGCAGGAACTCATTCTTGGATAATCGCTCTATTTGCTGAAATAATATCCAATTCATCGTTTTCTTAGCTCTCGAGTCATGGACCAGATATCATAGGCCAAGAAACGCTAAGACTAAGCATCCGGTCTTATTCGCCCAATTCAATACTACCTGACGAATTAATATTTCAGCTGGAATTATTTGGTGTGAACCGGTTTGGGGTAAGTTTTAGTAAGAATTCGACATAAACTTACAATGCGTATGAAACAAAAATGCGCCAGAACGGAAAATCACGTGCGCGCACACACACACACTCACACACACACTCACACACACAC